CACAAAGGCTGTACAGAAAAAAGTTATTCACAGTGGACACACACCTTGGACCATGCACACAGTAAAGCAGAGAATTTCATCAGGTACACACATACCTGTGATGAATCTGTTTCAGATGTACAGTTAAAGAAAAAATTTGCCCTCTTCTATTCTGTTATGAACTGAAATTTAAAACATCAGCAAAATGAGACTTTTAACATCTTCCAGGTACTGTAAAACAATGTCACAGAGCCACTGTCTCACAGCAAATCAGGGACTCCTAGAGCTGTGGAAAGAAATGTAGAGATTGGAGGAAGAAATTTGTTACAATCCTTTCTTTTTCTCAAACAGAACATCCAGATCTGACCTGTGTTACATGCGTTACTTTGCTAGAACTCTCTTCTAAAACACAAATTGGTATTTCACCCTTGGACTCTAAACCAAATTCATTGGCTGGTAAACACAGAATGACTGACTGGGAGCTCCCAAGGTAGCAGATATGCAGCCCTAGCAACTTGTGAGATGAGTGCTGCAACAATAGTATTGGCTTGAAATAAGAGAATGCCTCACCTGTAACAGATGACACAATCTGTTTGTAGATGTAATGGATAAATAGTAATCTTTTAAATGAAGAGTTGATGCCTTTCCATAGTATACTCACTCTTACAGGGTTTAGAATAGTGACTATTGGGCAGGTTGCATGGACTGTATTATGCAACAGTGCAGACATGGCCACAGCCATTCCTCTGGCCTCAAAATTACTGAAATGCTAGTAACTACACTCAGAAATATTTGGAAAATGGTGATGCAGAAGAAAGAAAACTGGTACTTGGGAACAGGCCAAAAGCTTAACAAGCCACTGAAAATCTTCTTTAGTACATTTTGGTCCCACATTTCCATAGGGTTAGGCCTAGGAGACACACACAGATTTGTTTAGAGACTGTTCTAGCTAAATTGTTTCCAGGATCCAGTTAGAAGTATTTGAAAAACTGATTCATGAGTTAAGAATAGAAAGTAATCTAAGCAATTACAATAAGGAACATTTTTTCAGGTTCATGTAAGACACCTCTGGGCACTTCTGTCTTCATCCGGCCACTTGCTTCAGGAATTAGTCATACCTGGCCGCACAACTGCAGTCCCACACCAGGATTTATCACAGCACACAAAAAAAGTCTGACTGTTAATAATGAATTTTCTGGCTTGCAAACAGTAGTTGATTTTACATATTCAGCTGTAATTGCTAAATATTAAGAAGATAATAAAGAAATATAATACATAGTTATTATATGTAATGCAGCGCTATTAACATAGATGTTACTATAAGCAGACATAACAGAAATATTACACATGAAAAATAAAAACCTTCCTGCAATTTCCAGTCTTCTCGCAAATGAAAAGTATATTTCCTTTTGTTAATTCCCTATATAGCTTTCACCCACACTTCAGTCTCTGCTTATTCACTTGCCATGTACCATAACTTTGAGTCTTTTAAACAACCCCGTTGTATTTTCATCTTCAGAGCTCTCTCTTAGTAATCTAAAGGCCTCAGCAAAAATGCAACTAGGCAAACTCCTCTTCTGCCAATGAACACCTCTGACTGTGTATTGAAGGTTTTACCTTTTTTGTAAGCTAACTGCGATTAGCTTTCATATTCTGCTATTTGTGGTTAGCCTTCATATTCTGATGTCCAAGCTAGAACCACTGAAACCCACCAAGTCTAAATGACTTAAAATATGTTAAAATCCCACTTTGATCCCTCATCATATTTAAGATTTCAAATATCTTTGGACAATTTGAGCCAGAGTACTTGTATCGTAAGTAAATGAGAAACCTCACAGAAATCTGCAAAAATTAATAGGGAAACTTTCATCTAACAGTGTTTCCATGAAACTTTACCTGAGAATTTAATGTCTATATGTGATCATCTTACATTTCCAGCAACATCAATATCAGCTGTGGAGGCTAAAACTCTCATATTGGTTTGCAGTACCATCTGACACGCACAGAAGCCTCTTCTGTTCCAAATCAGTGAAAAGGCTGCTTTTTAAAGAACACAAGTTTGTTAAGAATGTCAGAGATGTCAGAAAATCTTACAGGTTAATTAGGTTACAGCAAATTGGAGTCACTGCAAATTCTCTCACAATTGCTTGATCTAGGTGAAGCACTACAGATAATTGCTATTTACAATCCCATAACCAAAGGACAGCCATTTACACTGAAGATCTAAACCTCCTCCACGAAACAAGGAATTTAGAAAATTAGCAGATTTCCATTAACTGTTACATTTCAATATAAATTACAAAGATTTGTTTCAAAGTGAAAAGTGCCATGTAGAAATTACTGCATGAAGAAACAGTTTCTTCTACACAAAATTCAGTTTTAACCCACTATCTGATCCAGACTGATTAATTGTTACTTCTGGAGGCTAGATATAAAATCAGCACAAACTAATATTACCAGGTTTAAATATCTGAATTTTAAGTGCCCATGGATAGATACACCAGTTTTTCATTAATTTGTCAGGTTACTCCAAAGAAGTGTTTCTGTCCCGTGTCTCAGGGACAGAAATTCCTCCAATGAGCTGGAATAAATTAACCTCTATGTGTCCCTGCTTACAGCAGAGGGGTTGGAACTAGAGGATCTTTACAGTTAGAGGATCTTTACAGTCACTTCCAACCCAGGCCATTCTGTGATTCTATATGCTTCTTATAGAATGCATGACATCAAATAACAATGTCTATTCTCAAAAGAGTAAAAATCTTAAAGGTAGATGCACATTTGCTGCTTCTTCTGTGCAATGAACCCTTATGATAAGTTTGTAATCAAGACTGCAAATGCTTGATTAATGCTTGATTCAAGAGATAAATTTCAAAACAAATTCCTCCTGCTACTCTCTTCTAAAGTAGAACTTGAAACATTTTTAAAAAGATTTTCAGAAAATATATATTATATAAATTTTTAATATTTAATGCTGTTAAAAATGTAAAATATTTTCTTTTGTGAGAACCTTGAATTCTTCTGGTACTGCTTTTGAGGAAAAATTATCAAAACCTCAACTTCTTCAGAAAAATTTTCTTGTACAGGGAAAGAAAATTACTCCAAACAGTGAGCACAATTGGAAAGGATAAAATCAAGGTGGATTCTTAACTCTAATTAAAAGTCAGGAAAACTCAGAAACTTCAGTCACCTCCAACCCTTGAAAAATTCTTGCACACAATATGTGAAATCTTGAATCAATTTTAGCAGAAGTCTCTCAAAAAGCTGCATGTTTTTTCACCTGCATTAATAAAGGTACAGTCTAATATTTTGGCTCCTATAGGTACTTTTCACAGCTGCAAGTAATCCCATTAGTTGAGGTCACTTATTGATTAAAATAAGATATCAGAAAAGAAAACTTGTTATTCTGAAACAATTATAATGAAGATAAAATGGAGCAAAATTACAGTGTTTCCTTCAAAATAAATAAAACCTCTTGTACTTAGATGACTTATAAATTACATTACATTATCTGCATAATGTACAGATATTTATTAAATAAATTTAGTAGTACCAACACTGCAAGGACTTTCTTTTCTTTTGTATACACACACTTCTCTGTCAGATTTGACTGAAATTTCTGCAAGCTGGTTTAGAAGAGCTAACCTTCTCTTACTCTTCCCCACAGCTGGAGAGAGCTGCATGAGTGCATCTTTTACTCCAGTGCCATAATATTTAAGAATCTACCATTAACAGGTTGCAAGATTTTAAAATCGTCAAGGCGTGTGAATAAATGGTCTAAGAAGGAATAGCATCTAAATTGATAATATTATGTCAGATTATGAAACATTATTTACAGGTGGGGCATTTCAACACAGGTGCTGGTGCTAAGGGAGTCATGGGTAACTGATGCAACACAGCACTGCAGCCCAACATTTCATTATCAGTCTGTTGGTGATCAGCTAGTTAAAGTCTGCATCACATGACACGACACTAAACAGGACACAAGACCAATGATCCCACCAGAACATATCTGGGTCTCAATGACACTGTAACAGCTGTGGTTACAGCTGGCTTGAGGCTACTCTGCCTCCATAGCAGACTCCAGAAACAGCACCAGCACAGTTTCAAATGCAGGAAGAGTTCTGCTTCAGGCTGGCTCATACCATACCAACTCTAGTTCACTTGAGTCTTGTTTTCTTAAGTGCTGAACACCTGCAGCTTCTTCTAATTTCAGTTGGTGTAGAGGGTACTCAACACTTCTGATAACCAGACATTATGCATGAGCAGACATGGTCTTAAGAAGCAGATGCTCCACAAAGCCAAAAATGCCACCAATTTCACAAAGCCCGTGAGTTTTTTCCAGATTAGAATTTGAAGTGTGCAGCTTTATAAAGAGACGCTTAAATACCTCCCATAACTATGGAACAGGAAAAGAGATTAGAGAATAATAATTCCACCCTCACTACTGTCAGTCTTGCAGTATTTTAGACATCCAAACAGAATGAGTGGTGCTAGCTCTCTCCATGCTAGCTGGCAGGCAAAGAAGTATATGACAGCTGGTTCAATAGGACAAATCACTTTAAATTTGGATAGGGCAATTTCACATGAGGTGAATTACTGAAAGAGTGTCATCTTACTGAAAAAAAAAGGAAATCAGAGGAGGGAACTGCATTGCTGTCAAGAGAACAGCATGATTCTAAAAGCATATATTGCTTTAGTGGTTTCACAGAAAAGAGATTAGTTACAGAACATTTGCCTAAAAGGCACAGAAATACAGATTAAATGTAAACACAACTGAGGTAACGCAACAGCAGCTAATATTAAATAGCCCATTGGTTAGTTTTCATTACAGTGGACTATTTTGCACACTGTTTGAGTTAAAAGCCAGGTGTCTGTGTGCACATGGCCTCACTGCAGGGCTTAAGAGCTACAGCTTTGCCCTCTACAAGTGGCAACAGAATACAGAAGGTTTTGTATATTCTGGAACACAAATATTTTATATACACTAGGGGAGAGCTATTAAAACTGAAACTAACTCTTACATGATAAATTCTGTAAGGTTGCACCACTTTTTTGAGTCCACTTTCTTCATCATCTCTTCAAAAGATTTTCCACAGGCAGGCAACTTTTCTAACATGAGAGATTCATTGCAGAGCTCAGTCTGTTGACGTGCACCTAGGAAACATCAGATGCACCTTTAATCACAAACACTGAAATAGAAGCACAAACACATCACTCAAATTTGTTCACACAGTCTAACATGCCACTTACACTCTCATAAGCTTAATATTTAATTTTCCAAGCAATTTTAGAAAATAGACAAAACACATATTTACATAAATATGTTAAAAACATAACTTGGTATAAAAAACTAAAGGTTACCATATATAGTAGTGCCTTTTAAATCTAGAGGAACCTATCTAATCACTTTTCTAATCTTACATAGCTACTACTCATACTAACTCATTATTATGCACTTGCATTTTTAGTTAAAAGCTAACTGGATCTCACAATCCCACATTTCAGTGTAGAAAGCACGTTTCAAGCTCACACACATGCATCACATTCAACTAACTATATTAATGTGAAATTACTTTAACATTGGAAATATTTGTATGTCTTACCAGCTAAAGGGTGTGAATTTCCACAATCAAAGGTTTTTCTTTAGTACAGCCACCAAAGGAATTGTCTAGAGATCAAGTCCTGTGAGGAGCAGCTGAGGGACCTTGGGATTGTTAAGTGTGAAGAAAAGGAGGCTCAGGGGAGACCTTATTGCTCTCTACAACTTCCTGGAAGGAGGCTGTAGCCAGGCGGGTTTTGGTCTCTTCTCCCAAGTAACAAGCATCCGAACAGCTCAAAGTGGCAAGAGGTTTAGATTGCATATTAGGAAAAATTTCTTCACCAAGGTGAAACAGGCTACCCAGGGAGATGGTTGAGCCACCACCCATGGAGGTATATAAAAGATATGTAGATGCGGAACCTAGGGACAAATTTTAGTGGTAGAGTTGGCAGTGTAGGAGTAACAGTTGGACTCAATGATCATAGAGGTCTTTTCCAACATAAACAATTCTATAATTCTAAGAATTATCTGCAATTATCAAATGCTGACATGACAGCATATAACTACTTGCAAAGAAAGAGTTAACCTTGACTTGAGCAAGCCTGTAACTTTTTCAACCTATAATGGTAACTCCAGTATATTTAGCCAGCCAAATGTTTTTCTCATCCAGCACATGCCTGTGTTGGAGTACAACTACAGTGTTTTAATAATTGTAATAGAATTGAAATTCTGAAAAAATTCTCTTCAGACTAATGTGTTTGATTTTGATAAGACTGAAACATTTTGTTTTGATCAAACCCTTAAACATCTTGCTTTACCTCTATAGATGCCACTATTTTGAACATTATTCTGTATAAAAAATGCATTAATATTGAAAATTACCTGTAAATATATGCATATTAACATCCTAATACAAATGCCTACATTAAATTAGTCAGAAAAAAAACTGTGTAAATTTTTCCCTTCACAGCAGCTCAAATCCAAGAAATGTATTTACCTGAGCAAAACTGCAACCCTAACAAACTGGTATATCAGGGAATCCGCCTGAGAATTCTGGAGGCACAGCTTTTTTTAAGAATACAGCCAAGGAGAACAGACCATTTGCTCCTAAAAAAAAAATTCACTGAAAACATATTTACACCAGGGAGAAGGAGGTATCAGGATCCTATCACTGCTGAAAAGAGCTGATAGTTCTAATTTTGTGTGGCAGCAGCCAAACGCATTGTCTGAGGTTAGCTGAGGTCAAAATCAGGCACGACTTTGCTTGGTAAGAAGAGAAGTCCTCATGGCCCCATTCCTTACCATGCAGTAAAGAAAACCCCAAATTCTAAGGCAAGATGACTGGTCTCAGGCTTCACATCATAATCCAGCCGTCAGATACTCAGAAGCTTGAGTATCTCCATTAGAAATCAAGCATGTGATTGTAACACAGGCTTGAATGAACATCATTTCACCCAGGAAGGAGCTGGCTCCTTTGGAGCCTGGGCAGGAGCACCTTGCAATTTCAATCCAGGTATCAGAGTTGACTCCTTACGTGGTGGTCACTCTCTCTGTGATGGTGTATGACAAACGACAACCATCTCATCTGGCCAAATAAACACCTTGCTTTCACATACTTGCTAAGAGCAGCAGGCCCACAACAGGACAGCCTGTGCTGCACCTGAAACCATAAGTCTACAACTTCCTCTTCAGGTGTACGGCTCACTCACTAGGACCTAATCCTTGCTCCTTCATCGTGTCTGACTGTCAGTGCTCTTAAAGCTGTCATGAAGCATTCATCCATTCTGGCAAAAAGTCAGAACTACAATTACTCACCAGTGATAGAAATGGTGAAAAATGCTACACAAGAGCAGCATAATTTTGTCCATGAGAAGTTAACATGATAACATGGATCCTGCCTACTTAAGTGTTCCTGTCGAATCACCAGCAGCTGCAGCAGTTACCAGTTACACTTTCCACAGACAGACCTGCAGATGAATGCTAAAGCTATGCAGAATTCAAAACCACATATGAAAATTGCATAGCTCACAACTTAAATCCTGCACTGATGCTTTGACAAAAGTTATGCAAAGCTGCTTTTTCTGGCAGGGTATTCGTATTCTAAACAGCCAGCTATCATATGATTTATAAACAACACAGTACAATTTCTTCTTCCACTATGTCACGTGTGCTGACAATTTACTCCAGCCCCTTCCCAGAAGGATGTTTAAATGCATGCCATTGGTATTTTTGCTTGTCTGTATTTAAAATTTCAATATTTTGCAGGGTCATGGGAAAAAAAAAAACTCCATCAGAGTCATTTGAGCCCAATCTGATGACTCAAGAGTTTCTGTCTAAATCCCTGACCAAAAGAGTTCAAAATCATGGATAATTCTGCAATTTCACCATCACTCTAAGGCTGCAACTTAAAACAAAGGTGTTTTAAGAGCAATTCTGAAAATCTTGCGTCAATATATTGATAACGACCTTTACAAAACACTACAACACTCTCTTGCATACAGCCAATGGATAAGACCGGTTGTAAAAAATGCATGACAATTGACTAATTGAGATGAGACAGGATGGAAATGTTTCTCAAATGTTAACCATTAGCAAAACAGAAACAGAAGCTTGAATTTTTGAGGTAAGACTCACCTGCGAATCCAAGCGTCATTAGACCATTAACTAGGAAGGGGGAAAAAAAAGAGATGAGTTAGATACCTCCACACTCTATATAAAAGGATTAGTGCAATTACAAGCCAAGTAGAGGATAACTACATTTCAACAGAATATTAAAAATGCTTATTCAAAATTAGTTTGTTTTCTTAAAGAGTATGTCTAAAAGAAATAATGAGCATTTAGAGAACATTATGTTTTTAAATTCCTTTTAATCTATCCTTTAAATGGCTGAGTCAAGACTTGTAATGGGTCTCTATATACCACTCCTTCCTCTAGTTTCCAGTATTAAGGATTAGGGACAGGGCAATTTTTACTTCAAGCTTCTTAATAAGTTTGGGTGAAAAAGTTCAAGAAGATAACACACACACTCAAAACATAGGTGTACTGCACATTCTAACATGTAGAGAAAAAAAAATAATTTCATTTTTAAGCAAACACAATCATAAGTGTATACTCTTCTCCTTAAAAGCATATTGCTGTGTTTAAGTCTCCAGCTTTTGCACAGTGAAGTCACACATTTTGAAAACATTACAATCAAAACCTATAAGCTTCTTATGCAAAAGTTAGACTAAAACACGTATATTGGAAGTGCAACCAAATGGAAACAGACTATACCAACAGAATTAGTATAGTCTAGCCTTCTGATTAGTGATTTGCAGTACATCCAGATGGATTAAATTAACAGAAACCCACTGTGTTTGCACAGCTCCAGCCACACCCAGGATTTTGTAACAGCTAAGGGGGAATGGCTTCAATTATTTTTGATGTCCCACTGAAAAATAAAATTGCTGACAAATCTTTATAGTGTTAATTTCATCAGAAATTAAATTTATGATTTCACACAAATGGGTGCCTCCCTGTTTATACAATACATGGCACCCCAGTAAAACAAATCAAAATATATGTAGCAGAGTATCAGTACCAATCATTAATCTGGACCATGGTCACTGGGATATGCCAAGCTGTCAACTGAGTTAACTGAATATTATTGTGTACATGCATGAGAGAAGAATTTAGATCCTTCTAAGGAACATATTTTTCTTCCAGAAAATCATTAATCTCTGTCTTAGTTACTAATGAGCCAGAATGTACTACAAAGAGCAGGAATCCACACATCAGAAAAATTGTCATGCATCCAAACACACAGAGATGAAACTTCATAATACACGCTGATGGCTGTATCTCTTTCACAAATAGAAAACTTTCCAGGCTATTAGCAGATGGACTAATAAACAGACTTGATTCCCTGCAAAGGTTTTTCTTGAATCTTCATTTGAAAATGAGCCTTATTGACTGCAGAAGACTGAAAATCACATTAGAAGTACAGGCTTTACAATGAACCCAAACCCACCCATTCTGTCTAAACAGTGTAGGGTGCACATAGATACCCCAGGTACTCCCCTGGCAGATCACAGACTGCACCCCCAATTCTTATTCCATCAATTTGTATCACTGTGCTCTAGATCTTTTATGGTTATGGCTGCAATAACTCTCACAAGACCACAGCAATACAAGAGAGGGTTTACAACTAGAAAGAACCAGACTGCCCCAAGCGTCAGTGAGGAAAGCTATGAAAAACGAAATACTGAATAAAGGCTTACAGGTCAGTGCTCACAAATCCTCCTGTCCACAACAAAATGTGCATTACTCATTTTTTTATCTGCTCATAACAAAGTAACACAGGATGTTTTTCACCTATTCTCAACCAAAAGATTCCGGATACCTTCAGAGAAGGGTAAAACAGCCATTCAGATTACCATGCACCACCCGTCTATTTTCTTTGCTCTGAGATACTCAACAGAGATTTAATCAGGAGACTACATCATGCTGGCCATGATAGTTTGCACAAAAACTCTCCAGTAGCTCTTTTAAGATGCGGCAAGCTCAGCTTTTTTCTTGAAAGGCTGATGCCATGACATCTCTCATTAGAAGATTCATAGAAGAAGCAAAATGGATGGATCAGTTGAAAGGTGTTACCAAGACCCCAAAATAAAACAGTTGGCATACACTCCCACTTAAACTAACATTTAGGGAGATAAAAGGAGGTAAGTTTAACTGTACAAGCTACTTGAAGTAGCTGCTTACTTTTTTTTCTTCATACATGGTAGCAGCATGTGTGATCATCCCTAGCATCAGCTGAATCAGATGGGAAGCGAACAAACAGGTTAGAGCCAGAGCAAGAGGTGAAGCAAGTATCATCAAATGAAGGATGAGGAAAAGCAGGTTTGAAAGGCTTTTGGAGAGAACAAGAGAAGATAAATAAAGCAGGAGAGAGTAATGGAAAATAATAAAAGAGGGAAAAAAACCTAATTTTTTTAATCACAACCTTCTTCAAGATATCGTATGTGAAAAAAATCTCATCCTAGACCTTCACTAGAACCTCTTATTGTCTACTCTACTCTCCTTTAAAACTCTCCTTTTTGTAAAAGGAGAGTAGAGAGCAGATAATAAAGGGGTTCTAGTGAAGGTCTAAGATGAGATTTTTCTCCTTTTTTGTCATTCTGACACTACAAAAGGAGTTCAAAATGAGATTCACAGCCATACATAAATTCACAATTGGAATACATGACAGGGTAACTGTCCTGTAATTTTGTCAAGTATATAAGCTTTTTCTGTGAAATGGAAAAATATTTCTCAAATGTTTGCTTTATTTCTATACTGTTACTATCCATTGATATTTTTCCCAGAGGCTTAAAAGAAGCACTGAATGTCTGCCTTGCAACTACTTCAATAAACCTGAAGCAGCATATGAATTGATATGTGTTCTCCCTACTCCACCTTTCTCCAAACATGTTTTAAGAACAATTCTGAAAATCTTGTGCAAGTATGAGTGAAATGTCACAATTTTCCCTTGTCTGAATGTTTTTTCAAGATGCTATTACTAACAGCATATAGTAAGATATTTTGAGTGGCTCCCATACTTTCTCAGAATAATTCTTCTTTCAACAGATAAAACTGCTGTATGCACCTTTTAACCAGCAATTACAACAGCGTAATACTGTGCATGTTCTTTAAAATTTGTGATGTTTATTCAAAACTTCATTTTTATCAATCATAACTTTCATAAGCAAAAAGAACGTGTAAGGAGCTCAAGTTAAACCTCATGTCAAGAGCCTACTTCTGTATCTCTTTTTAAAGACAATCTTGCCAATTACCATCATCTAATATTTATCTACATCAGGATAGATCTCCATTGGAAGTTATGTACTAACCAAACAGCTGCCTCCCTGCAGAACTTGAAGTTTCACTGATAGCAGCACATAACTGTGCAAGAACTGCCCTGACATACAGTTCACAAAAGCAAGTAAAACCAGAGTTTGAAATGGGAACTGCTGCTCTGCAATCATGCACATATGATCTGTTGGAAACATAAGTGAGAGATTGATACTCTATTATTAATATTATATATATATATATATATATAAAATTTGTCATACTGACAAATCTCAATACTCACATTTTCTTATAAAACTGATTTGAAATACTGAATAAGCCAATCTTACAGCAGTCTAGTGTTTCTTCAGGTATTTTAATATTGGACAAAGCTATCTGTTGCACAGGTATGACTGAAGATCATGTTAAATTCAGCAACCTTTTATGCAAATCCCAAGTCATACCATTACAGGTGCTGTAGCAGGAATGCAGATACTTCAGGGTACCTAATGCAAAAGAAATTACCCATGGAAATTACTTCTGTGCTCTCACACAATGTCAAGAGGCATCCTACTACATTAAAAAATTGGTTACAATTGGCATAGGTTTTCTTTATTATCTGTTTCCTGGATATTCTTAATTTTAGGAGATTTATTTCATTAGGGTCTGTCTGAATAAAGAAGGACAAGATGAGCTAACACGAGCATCACATGATTGCTTTCCAAAGCCTTTTCTAAAACTCCTCTATTGGGGTCAAGTCAAATGTACATGGCCAAAACACGACACACTCTGAAAAGGCTAAGATATCCTACAACTTGATGGGAAAGCCCAGATGCCACTATAAAAGTGGAAGGAAAGGAAAAATAATGTTTTTGGTACAAAAACTAAACCACCTGTCACTCTCTAAATAACTCTCTGCACAATATACATGGCTCAGAAGGTCATCTTTTGTTCTCAGCTATCAACTGTCCTTTTCACACTTCTTCATAAGACGAATGGGATGGGGAGAGGGGGATGAGGACAGGACATAAGAACAACATCACACAGTGTGAAAGCAACCAAGGAAGAGAGGCAACTGAAGTTCACAGAGACAAGCAATGACAGGAACTCAACACAAAGGAAGGATGCCAGGAATAAACAGAAGCTTGCAATAAATATAGTACTTGAAAGAAGTGCTACACTTGCATTCAAAATTGGCCCAGAAAAAAATGTGTCTCGGTGTATGGAGTGGCAGGAGCAAGGTAAATCTGTTGGCAGGATGCACTGATCTGTATCTGGGTTCAAGAAGTTTTCTTGAGAGCTAGCATAACATGGAACTCAGCTTTGCATTATCTCCAGCTTTGATGCTGAAGCTCCTTTTAATGCTCTTTTTATCCCCTTGTGTCAATGGTATGGAAGATGCACATATAGCCATAGAAATATAACACACAAAACTGAAAGGGCAGCTCAATGCTTACTTTACCACAGTTTGAGGCACTATATTGTTTTTAAACTGCAAAGATAATTTCAGACTGTTAACTATTTTGAACATTAGAGTCTTCTTCCTGCAGAGCAAGAAAAACATGAGAGGAAGTAAATTAAGCCTTTTCATTTCATCAGTGGAAATCAACAGGGAATGCATCAGAGGCATAAATTTTTCCAACCCATGCTGGTACAGAGTTTCCTGTGACTGCAAGGCAATGTGACCATTATTCTGAACTCATGCTTCAACTGAGAATCTTTCAGAGTAGCAATACAAATTATAGTCCTTTACATTCTTTTTTGAAGTTCTTAAATCACTGTTGGCAGCATATTAAGAATGAGGCACAATTTCTGAACAGTCTGTCTACTTCCAGAAGTGTTGGATGGGTTTT